GTTTCAGTTAAAACTTGTTGAAGATATATTGTCTGTTTAGTAACATGCTAAAAGTAGCAACCAGAAGACTAGGTGTACCTAACACATCTTTTTTTTCACTGTCACTAACGGTTTCTATGTACTACTCAGTCCTTTTTTTATTACCCGAGGGAATCTGCTTACAGATACCCCGACACTGCGGGGCAGAACCGAGGTTATGAGGGACTGGGCTGAACCCAGAAGGGGAGCAGCCCGACCGCATCAAACCCCCGGGATGTTCTTCCTCTCCGCTGCAGGTATTGCTCGTCCGCGCCTTCACCAGCGGCAAACCGCGCACAGCGCAACCCCTCCCCGAGAAGGGAGACACAACGGTCCCCCCACACCATATGTAAGGCTCGCCGAACAGCAGACGAGTCTTCCATGTCGGGCCCCTCCATGCTGGGCAACGAAGCCGACTCCGCTACTCAGGGGCCATGGGGGCCAGGACGAGATCCCCTCAACTATGAAGTTCAGAGGATGCTCCCTCAGCCCTCACGGCGGATCTGTTGGTAGGCTCCGCCACAACATCCTACGCGCATCCGCTTGGACTCTCCGAAGATAGTCCTTTGAAACGCCCACCACACGGGCCAATCGCCCAAACACGCTCGCGGAGTACAGGACGAGCGGCAACGATACACCGACGCGTCTCTTCCCCTGCGACCCCCACTCCGCATGCGACCGCGTGGACTCGCTCACCCTGTATCAAGACGAGCCCGTGCGGTACGCCCTTCTCCTCGGGCCAGCCTAATTCCATCGGCCAGGCCGTGGGTTCCTCTAAGTTTCACCGTGGGGTGAATTCGATTACTAGAACCCGGGGGGTTCTAGAACCCACAACAAGTCGGGAACCTATTGGGGGGATGTACTACTCAGCCCTAGGCCAAGCTAGCTACAAAAGGTCAATTTTCTACCTACAAATTTTAACGCTATATGCACGTCTATAAGAGATGATGATTGAAATTTAAACTTAATTTCAGAAATTTTAATAGCCATTTCCTAATAGTTCACTTTTTTGCTTAATGACTTTATCAATTTCAATGTGCGGCATAGTTTATTAAACTAAAATCTTCAAAAGGAACATGTGAGTCGTTTGTTCACGTTTAGGTATAAATGAACTGCTCCCTGAAATCTTTTTCTAACTATGATGTAATGAAAAAATGTGGGTGTTGGCGTGTACCTACTACATATCTGCAAAATACGGTTGGTTACTATATGGGTATAGGTAGTAAAGTGTGCTAACAGTTTTTTTATGTACTAGGTAAGAGGGTGAAGAGGCCCACGCGGTCGCGTTCGGCGTTACGTAGTTTGATTGTTCATTACAATTTAGATGTACTAATAAAATAAGGAATTCATTACAAGGAATTGAATATTGTTTATTAGAGTCCTGGTACATGAATATTAATACAAAATCTTTTATTGTCATGACAAATTACCATACAGTTGGGCCGATCTAATCGAAAACTACGAGTTATCAGGCTCTATACAGGCCGTTTTGAACCTACATAAATTAACGGGAAACTGAACGTCGTTCAAGTTTGATTACTTAATATTCGAAATCGCATTATTGTTAAACACCAACATAGTGCAAACTGGCCTCTAGAGATGCACGAGTGAATCGGCAGAGCTGGTTCATGAATTTTGTCAATCCCATTTCCATTACGGGCGGGCTTGGCCCCGTGCCCGGGCACCTTCAGCGATTTACGATACACGCGGCCTGTAAGGACCAATTCATTCCGTCCGTTTATAGTTTTTGATGTTTTGGACAATTCAATAATCGCTACTTTTGTTTAATTATCAACGTGATTTACGTTGGTACTGGTTGGCGTCAGCTAAATTCGGAAACCTCGTAACCTCCATTAACGTGAACTTTTGAGTAGGCACAAAACACTGAATTACCTTTATTTTACAATTAAAAAAGGGTCTACGAATTATATTTTAAGCTTAACTTGCCTGATATTGCGCTTAAAAAGTAAAAAATAGGGATTTCGTCCGAAAGCAGACTACGAGTTTTTCAAATTTAGCCGACGTGGTGTATTTTAAGAATTAGATATGTATGTTCTTCTGGGTTGAACAGAATATTAACAACATTATATTTTTGAATTATTTTTATAGAAACTTGTAGTAATGTAGTTAAGGTGACTATTATCAGTTTTTCAAATAGTACCTACATGCAGCCTTTATAACAACAGAAATTAATTTATTTTGCCAATATTTACCCAATCATGCAGATAAAAGACTTGCGTACATGGTACATAAATCGGTAATTTAAATTGAAATTTCACAGAAGCGGTTCACTACATAATCAATCGAATTCCGTGATGGAAGTATGTAGGGTTGATTTACATGCTCGGCGGCGGGTGTCAGCTGTCGTCACCGACCGAGGATGTGACAGGAGTGCAGGACGGAGGACGGAGGAGGGTCCTCCCAGCTCCACGCACGCGCCTCGGGACGTCGTCGCACGCAGCCATCGAGTTTTACCTCACTCAATATTACGTTTGTATATGCGATATGCTATTAACCAATCGTTATTTCTTATGCAAACGTATTTTACGGGTTTGTTGAGTTTGTGTTCGTAATTTGTGTTATTATACCTAACGTTTTTCGGGTTTTCGACTTCAAATTTTATAATATATGAACCAAAGATGATGCCTTTTCAGGAATGTCTTAATTTTGCTTATAAATGGTTTTAGCAACGGTTATTGTTAAGTAATCAGCGAGCAAATAGGTGTTAATTACGATAAATTGAAGTATTTAGGCGAATAGCACATTATCATAGGTGACGTGTGGTAGCGCCCTGCGCAGAGTAGGTCAGGGCAGGGCGCGCGCGAGGGGTGGTGTTGAGGGGCGGTATACGGGAGGGCGGAGAGCGCGATTCATGTTTACGGGCTCGGCCGTCAGCTGTTCGCGCGGCATGAATGTGGCGCGCGGGCGCCGCAGCGCACATCGATTGCTGCTACCTGAGCCTCGGCCACGTGCGGCGCCGTCCGCCAGTCCCGGCGCGCTCGCCGGCCCGCCGCCCGCCGCGACCTGCAACAGCCACCCGCGTCCCCGTCCGCCGAGTGCCGTCCGCACGCACGACATGTGACCCGCCCGCGCTCGCCCCGTCGCTCATCAATGGATTGCCTGAGGTGACCTGTGCCCGGATTCCGCCGCCGACGTCCCCGCCGGTGAGTTCATCATCCAACACTCATCGGCAGACGCATAAACACGCAGACGACGCGCCCGAATTCGTTAGTAAATAATGGTTTTTCCGATAGCATTAATAGTCCTGAGACGATTTATGCGACTGCGCCGTGTGATGTTTACTGTGACCCGTTCTCGGGAGCCACCTTCTCATTACATTAGCCTCGGAAATTTCTACCGGAAAGCGTTTTTCTTATCGATCGTTGCTAAGTTTTGCTCGTTTCTGACAGATAATTTGTAAAATTGTCGGTCGGTTTACGATATCGAAGGACGGCAGCATCATTTGTTATCGGAAGCCGGCGCTTATCTCTAGGTGTGCTCGAAGGGGCTGGCTCTGACATAAGCCACGCATCCGTTTCAAACTCTAATATTCGTTAGTAGGTATTCGGAGGTCAATTTACCAGCACTGCTAGATACCTATATAACGTAGGTTTTACTTACCCGGTCTGATGCAACAGCTTACTAAGTGTGTGATGGAGTTGTGGAGTAAGAATTATGTAGATTATTTTCATATTATTGGCTCAAGCGAGACGAGTGAGTGGTGATGTGAAGGCGAACGAGGGCGAGGGAGCGACCTCCCATTCATTTTATTTAGCCTCGTACTGCGGGACCTTGTGACCGACCTTGGCCTTCCTTTCCCACGTGTGTATGTGAAAATATTAAATACTGAGCTCATAATTACTTTACACATCACATACAAACTAATCCGCCTTACATAAGGAAAATAATATTTACTTACTCTGTCTATTGTAAGACCAGATGCCTCATCGTCGTGTTTGAATTTATAAAATAAAAATTAACTTTCAATTGTCAAATAAATCATCAAGGTTTAATTAGTAAATCCTGTGAGATTCCGTCTACACATACATATTGTCTTTATTTGCAATGCCTTTAAAGTAATTAAAATTTAGCTTTATTATTGTTGCATCTATTGGGGTAATCATATACACCTAAGAGCAAACGAAAGATTGACACATGATAGATCCCAAATACATATATCTACTGACTAAATATTCTACGTACAATACAAAATAATAATCTGTGTACTTGTATGCGCAACTTATACGTTTTTAGGTTCTTTATGCGAAAATCTTGCTATAGAAAGTTATAAACGACTTGCGAAGATTTTCTCTAAAGACCGTCATCTATCAGAGAAAGGGTAAAGTCGATATGAGCCGGAGCCAGCATTTGTCAGTTCACAGTGTGACGATCCCGTCTGCCGGCTTAGAGAGTATGGCAATCCTGCCTTAGTTTAACGAAACCTTGTTAAAAAAGAGATGCATAGAGTGTGATAAGGTTTTGTCAATAAAACTTGGCTTCGAAATATTACAAATTTTAATTTCTTGAAATTTACGATCAATTTTACATTATTAACTGTTCAAAATACTATTATGAAAAATAATTAAGTAACAAGAGCAATAATGACACATTCACGACATTGGTATTGTAGTCGTTCTGAGACGCAAGCAGTGGACATTTTTGCTTATCAGGCAATACATTATATATAGACGACCATACGGAAGAGAATTATCCAAGATAATTTAGCTATTACAAAAAAAGGCAAATTTTTGATGATACTGTTGGAAAAGAAAACTAATTATCTGCTAACGCGAAACATCCATTTACCAACGTTTCGCTCACTGTACTGTTATAATAGCAGCTCAGTTTATTTCATTTGTAATTCAAGAAAACACAGTCAAAGTATAGAAACCATTATAAGTAATTATGCATATAAACGAGTTGCTGAGATTTGTTCCCAATGCCGTCATCCATCAGGCAAAGGCTTACAGTCGGAATATGAATGGGAGCAAGCATCTGCCGCTTTTTGTCGCCCGCAATAATTGCTGTGATAAATCGTTTTACGAAATTAATGGTCCGTGGGAAGGATTGAAAAGTTGAAAATTATGTATTACTTTGTTGACAAATATCTGACTCTATATCCAGTACCATATTATATTTATTTTTGTGTCTTGTTAACTAGACTGGCACATAACGTAAAGGTTAACACAAAATGCAGGAAGCGTAACATAATATTATAGGAATCATAACAAATGAAGATCTGACTCTATCTTTTTCGTGTCTAAGTTTTTACTAATTTACACAAACATTTTTTGTTTTGTTTAGAAATGAGACTGACAAGTTGTGCGTCTGGTGGTAAGCGACACGCCTGTCTCTAACGGTTGCAATGTCACTCAGATTTTTAAATAACAAAGATCTGAGGAGCAGTGCCACTGCGCTCGTCATCCTGAGACTTAAAGTTGACAAGTCCCACGTGTCGTAATTTCACCAGCACTCTTCAAAACGGGAATACAGTAATGCTTATATTATCTAGTTGATTAGAATGAAACAGAATTACAAAAACAAAAATATCAAACAAAAGCATAAAGAGTACAACGAAATACCAAGCAGAACAAATACAATACAATGTGCAAATACGCTTATTGCCCCGTGTACTGGTGGCGAATCTCATTTTGGGGTGACAAAATGTTTTGAATTGTATTAGAACCTGCATAGAATTGTATTATACTGCGAGATTTTTCGCTGCTTAGAGAAGTTTTCAAAGCATTTCAGGATTTTGAAAATAATGCATAATAAGACATAATGCTACTTATCGAGTTCTTAGGTTTTCGCGATTGTTACACATAGGAAATGAAACTATTTTTCCAGACTTAAATCATGAGCGGGCCCTTTTCAGGTCCCATGATCACGGTTGAAGTCAACCGTGACCATAGGGTCTGTAAAGTGATATATGAATAGTTTCGTTGCCTACATCTACTTTTTTACTTACTAATATTACTTCTTTCTTTTTCTATTTAGTACCCAGTATTTATACAAATAAATACTGAGCATATAATGCTCTCTCTGGACTTTCTTATAACCTCGCAACACGTCAAAGAAATGTAGGTATGTACCACTACCAACAATAATAGGGATTTTTTCTCAACTGCTTCTACAAATAGGCAACATTTATTTGAACGAAAAATCGTTACGGCAGCGAAGGGAATTTTTCAAACCAATTGAGCAATTTAATTCTATTTGTAAGGTGGTAAAGTAGATAGCTAACCGGTAGGTAAGCGGCATCAGGAATTTCTTTATAAGCTCGTCAGAGCCTCAAGATAAAAAACAGAAATGGTAATATTTTATATGTGTTGTATATGTTGGGGACTTACGTTTTTCGAGGGCTGTGAACCTTCTTCGACGTGCAGGATAAAGATTAATAATGATTTCACAAATTTAAAATATTTGTAAAATTCACTAGGTGTGTAAATAGACGTAGCAAAAGAGTGCATGTGAGTCTATAAATTCCACGTACATACCTCATTGAGGGTCACGCGTGATGATCTGTGTCACGTTAATATAGGAAGTAGTACGCTTATTTAATAAACATGCTTTATATATGTCTCTTTCGTTAAAGGTTACGTACTTGTCTCCATTCAACGTAAGGCTGTTCGTATTGTCGACGATCCTAAACTCGCAGATGGTATGGAGCCCCTTAGCCTATGGGGAGACGTTGGCTCTCTGTGTGTGTTCTACCGTCTTTATAATCGAGAGTGCTCCGAGGAATGGCTCTCTATGTTTGTTCTTCCTGTGGGGAGTGCTCTGAGGAACTTTTGGAACTGGTGCCTTCGTCTCGTTTCCACCAACGCACCTCTCGCCAAAGGAATAGAGTCCATCCCCACAGCTTAGTCTTACAATGCCAGGTTAGATATAATGATTAGGTGACATGATGTAGGAACGGTATAAGTACTACCAGTACAATGTATTAAATAATATAACACAATATTTCGTTTTACGAATGGTTGAAGCGCTTAACGAAATAAATTAGCAAATATACTTGAAAGAGAAACATGACCATTCTTTATTTATTGTTGTTTGTATGTGGTTTTGATATATTATAATATATTTATTAAAACTTCAAGCTGAATATTTCATTACATACACTAACCTAACCTAAACCCAAAAAGGTGGTCGAACCAACTAACAAATGCAAACAAATTCGGTTCATTCACCATTGCACCTAAACACCACTGGAATTATATTTATAATACATTATACTCAGTAAATATTATGTCTGAAGTGTTTATATAAAATGAATATTATGCCATCGGTATATTAGATTGAAAGTTATTATATCAAACGCCTATTATACCCAGTGACCTTATAATATGTCAAATGTCTGTATATCAAAAATAAATTATATCTGTTCACCCTTATATCGACTAAAAATATGTTGTTGTTATATATTACGAACCGCACCCCTGCAATATGTAGAATGATCTTCCTCCTGATGTATTTCCTTTGCGCTATGACACGGGGTTCTTTAAAAAACAGGGCTCTCAAAGACTGGCAACGCATAGGCAGCTCATCTGATGTTGCAAATATCCATGGGCGACGATAACCACCTCTTATCAAGTGTCTCGTTTGCTGGTTTGCCTCCTTCACATAAAAAAACGGTATAATTAAAATAAAAAATAAAAAGTAAAATTGTATTGTAATTGGGGAACTTATTTTCATACAGATTTTGATACGCGCGTCTTAAATAAACATTTGTTTGATTGTTTTGCATCAAGACATTTTGTATGTCGGAAGAGGGTTTGACGGCTGATGATTGCTGCAATACCCATGGGGCGTTTCTCTATATTTTTACATCATCATCCAGTTAAATATAATATTAATGTCAAAAAACTAACAAACAGTAGGCTTGCCATGAGCACAGAGACTTTGTCTTCTTGAAGTTGTTGATTAGTTTACAAAATTACGTCATCTTTGAGCACAACCAGCAGAGGAAAGTTTCACTACTCTTACGAGTTATATACGAATAATAATATACTTGAGTACTATGTACAGAGAACTAATGGGATGTATATATTATATATCCGATGTGTGTGCAAAGACAAAGGATAAAATGTAAAATGGAATTCTTATACGTGAGGCGCACTATAAGTTTCCGGAATGAATAAGAAAAAAATACTATAAATGGTCAGAAATGAATTTATTGTTTCTCAAAATATTCTCCGTTAGCGTTAATGCACTTTTTCATATGAATGCACTAATTTTGAAAACATTTCAACCTCTGAAACATATTTTTCATACTCTTCGACAGCCTCTTCAGGTGATGAATATCGTTGACCGCGTAATTGGTTCTTAATTTTTGGAATTAAATAAAAGTCAGAAGGTACTGTACGCGGATGGCTCATAAGGTCAAAGTTATTCACCTTCAAAAATTCATTTATCTGTCTGGCCTGTGAGAACTGGCATTATTGTGGTGCAAGTTGATACGGCGTTTACGGTTATTTTTACGGAGTTTGTCAATAACTTCTGTCTGAAGCTGAGCGAAGCTCCGCTGAGCTATTAAATTACACTTAAAGTCGTAAAAAATCATACTACGAAAATGTTCACGAGTTAAATCTATGGTGATGTAGACAACCAATATCTAAAATGACGTCACAATTTAAAACAAGTGAGAGTCAGATGACACAAACTGTATTCTACAGCCAGAGTTCCATTTTCAAATGTTGTAATTACTTTTTAAATATTGTTTATGTAAGTGGCCAGTTCCGGAAACTTATAGTGCGGCCGATGTATAGCAAATTCCGGTGTAGACCGCAAATTGGTAATGATTTCAACCGCATCCTTTTTGTGGTATAATTTCTACTTTTTGGGGCAATTTGGATTTACGAAGTAGGTAAGTGAAAGGGCCATTTACCACTTCTTATGGGTTTCAAAAGAGTAATTTTCAGGTTAGTTTTCTTTACCTAATTTCGGTGACAATATTTTAAATTTAGATTAAAAAATTGACTACTATGTTTACGCCTTTGAGTGCGTACCTATATTTTTATTTTGCATTGCTCTTATTACTTAACTATTGTATTGTTGGTATTCTCTTTCTTGATCAGCTACCAAGACGTACCTGGATAATTTTCTATACCCATTATAATTGCGGTGGCAATGTTTATTATTTAAATATTGTATAACAATATCATGAACTATTATTTAATATTCGAGTGTGGTATCCTGAAATATTATTAAATATTTCACTATAATATATGACAAATAATAAAAATTACCACCAAAATTAGGTAGAGGAGACTAATCTGAAAATTATTCAAAACATTTGTACAATTACTTTGGAATTTCAACTGTATTAGTAGACTTAAATCAATTCTCCAAATTAGTAGAATATAATGAGTGGGAATTGTCTTTGTATTGCAGCGGTTACCGTGACTGCTTACCTTTCGCCACTGCTAAGTAACCTACTATACGGGGTAAAGAGCTCGTCAAGTTTGATACTATAAATTTAAATTCAACTCCTTAATAATGGTCCAAAATCGAAGCTTCGGAGTATTCGAGTGTTACAGAAATTGACGATTGTATTGTTAAAGTACTTCATTTTAATGTAATAATTAACATTGTAATGTTCTCCCGAATGGGTTAGCTGTAATGAAAAGTTTACAAATACAAATACAAATACAAATATTTTTATTTACTTTATGTGATTACAACAATAAGTCAACATCCACAGTTTGGCTAAGGACAGTTATTCAGTATACACTAGTTACTGGTGGCTATCACACTAGGGGGACCCTGTATCGTGAGAGCCAAGTAATACAAAATGAGTTACAATTTAGTACGATTGGGCATGTAACAGCGGATGATAGTAAATTAGTTAAAATTATTATTATGAATTATCTTTAAAAATTAATTAAAAACATGAATCATCAGTGCCGAGTAATAAGTGCAAAAACATTTGAACCAGAATTATTAATATAAAATGTGTGTGTGAGTGTGTGTGTTTGTGTCTGTGTGCGTGTGAGAATGAGTGAAGGTGTGCAGACGATTAACCTATTATTTTGAGAAGATTTTCAGTGTCTTGGTAGGACAGTTCGAGAAGCCAGTTGTTGAGCAGGGCCTTGGTTTTGCGAATTCGGAAAGTTTTTATTTCAGGGATAGAGCGATTGATCCTGTTGTAGATGAGTGGCAACTTATAGGCGAGATGGTTCCTGGCAAATGCCGTTCTAACGGAAGTGTTAGGTACTTGGAAGACCCTTTTGTGTAATAGCGCTGCATAGTTCGGCGACCCAATTGTGGACTTGTGGGCCATTAAAAATACTCTAGAAATGTAAATTTGACGAACATTTAAACGAACGTTTACCTTACGCGTTAGCGAATAAGGTTGTTATTTGGTAAAGGTTACCTGCGCAGTGACTTCGATATTCAAATTATCGGATGTTTTTTCAAGGAGAATGTCCTTGTCGTTATCAAAACATCGTAAAAGTACTTAACTAATTAAAAATTTACAATAAATTTAATGTTTGACACTTCAAATATTAAAATATTGATTGTAATGATATTATGATGTTTTACTATTATGGTATTCATTTATTTTTGTGATATTATTTCACTAGTCTGTTATAATTCGACGTGATGTACATACTCCTACTTTGAAATTGACTTTCTACTAATTCAAATTAAAGAGAAATAACTTTTTGAAATAGTTTTTCAGCCCTGGTGTAAAGTCCTATTTTTCGAGATACGGCAAGATCGCTTTCCGGCGTCGAATTGTTAATACAAAGATCGAACACAAAGAAAAATTCCATCGATCTGACAGGACTCAAACCTGCGCCTGTGCCATACCAAGGCAACCACTTTACTAACTGTCGTCATCACCATTAACCCATTTATACGTCCTACTGCTGGGCATGGGTTTCTCTCCTCCTCTCAGGCGAGGGTTTAGGCCATAGTCCGCCACGCTAATCCAATGCGGGTTGGGGACTTGACATGTTTTTCCGAGGGTTGTGAACCTTCTTCGGCGTGCAGGTTTTATCACGATGTTTTCCTTCACCGAAAAGCTCATGGAAAATTTCAAATTAAATTCCGCACATGAATTCCGAAAACTCAAAGGTGCGCGGCTGGTTTCGAACGCACGGCCTCTGCTTGATAGGAGGTAAGTCAAATAATTAGGCTGTCAAATCGAAGAGATTTTTCTTTGAGTTTAATCTTTGTATTAGTAATTATTAAACATTAAATATTATTAACGGTAGAACGTCACTACGTCAATATTAATTAGTTATATTATTCGCCCATTACCATAAAATTCGAGTCCCTTCTAACGCAGATAATAAAGTCATACTGTTCAGGACGAAAACGTGTTCGCGCCCATATGATTTATAATATTGTGATTTAATGTTGTAATTTATTATTGTAATTTATTATTGTGAATTTCGTGTAAGATTTTGATAAATAAACGAGAGGGAGAGAGGGGTTTTGCTTGGAGTCTGTAGGGTTCTCCCGTCCCGCTCCTGCATTGGTGCCGTCCCGCTCGCACACTTGAATAGAATGCGAGCGGCACGGCGGGCCAGCGATGATATAAAAGGCGGAGCGTTGGGAGCGGAACGACATTCCAAAACTGACTGCACAAGAATCCGAAGGCGTTCCAAATCTCACCGCGATCCAAGCAAAACCAAGATCAAGAAGCTCAATTTACAACCAGGCGTTTTTTCACATAATCCGCCCCCACATTTTCTGGTCCTTCAGCAGCCGGATTACATCAAGAAAGAACAATGCCAGTTACCAGAAGCGCAAAATCGTACCCCGTGAATACCCAAGAATCCTCGTCCACTGCTCCAACCTGTTCGACGGGCACCGACACGATCACGGGGACCGAAAAGACTGCTACGACTTCAGAACACACGCGCTCCACGTACGCCACACGTACAACCGGTGCAACTGTGGAAACCGACGCAACGATCAGACAAATCGACGCCGCGCCGACTGCCACCTCGCCAGTCTCCCAACTAGTAGAGAGACCCGAAGCCGGCGCCACTACAAGTGAAGCACCACGGAGAATATACTCTCCTAAATCTGTTCGATCTTTTCGATCCGGTTCTTCGAACAGTCGTCGTAGGCAGCTAGCGGAAGCGCAACAAGAATTATTGAAGCTGAAAATCGATTTATTATCTGCAAAGATCGCGGCAATGCAAGAGGAATCGGACGAAGACGAACCGGAGGAAGCCACGATCCGCGAAGAACGCACATCGGAGTGGATTCGCACAAGCACTATTGGGTTGAGAAGAGAAGAGCAGGAAGACTACACTGCCGCCACACGTACGAAGGAAGATATATTGAAGGGAAGACCTGCCGAATCACAGGCGCCGCCGCCGACGCGCGACGTCATTCGACAGGAAAAAATCTCCACGTACGCGGCACCTGCGACAGCTGGGACCGGGTGCCCCCCCACCAACTACGCGGGGGGAGCGCCCCCCTCTACATACGTCACGCACACAATTGAGAGATAACAGCCGCAATACTATCGTAACAACGACGGCCACCTGGAACATAAGCCGCCGAGCGACATATGTTACGAAAAGTTAGCAACGGCGATCACTACTGCGGCACGAGCGATTCAACCCACTACTGCAAGACTTCAAGAATTACCCATATTCAACGGTTCGTCAAGCGACTGGCTGCCGTTCAAGACAGCCTATGAAGAATCTGCAGGACTGCTTACAGAACAAGAGAACCTGGCGAGGCTCCGGAGGAGCTTGAAAGGCACCGCTAGGGAAGCAGCTCAATGTTTATTCATCGGAGCCACGTCCTCCAACGAAGTAATGAGCTTACTGACGTCAAGGTTCGGTCGTTCGGACGCGCTCGCACTGGCCGAACTGAGTAAGCTACGCACCCTTCCTACGCACGTCTGGGCGAACATCCGAGAGACATCTGCAACTTCGCATCGAAGATCATCAACGTCACGGCCACATTGAAGGCGCTAAACAGACCGCATTATCTACACAACGCCGAGACAGTGCGCGCCGTGGTTGAGAAGCTGCCTTCAGCATTGCGCTATCGATACTATGACTTTGCTGCGGAACAGCCAGAATACCAACCTGACCTAGTAACCCTGACCGAGTTCATGCAACGCACAGCTGCACGTTGTGGGAGCTACGCGCCCGTCGAGAACACACCTGTGGAAGACCGGCGGGAGCCAGCAGGCAGGAGACCCATAAAGAGCTACCACACTCAAATAGCGAAGCCAGCCGCGCACGAACAAGTTACTACGTGTCCTATTTGCGACAAGACCGGTCATCATGCGGCGCAATGCGACGAAATGAAGACAGCAGATGTAGCCGCCAGGTGGGACATAGCACGCAAACACGGGCTATGTTTCCGCTGTTTACGGACACGCAAATTTCGCCATACGTGTAAGAACAAGAGGTGCGGCATCGACGGTTGCGAGTACATGCATCATTCACTGCTGCATGGCACTCCACCCTCATCAAAGGAGAAGAAAGAAGCTCCTGTATCATTTGTTGTGGCATCAGCAAAAGACAGAAGCAACATCACCGCGCTACTGAAGGTACTCCCTGTGCAAGTGAGGGGCCCCAAGGGTACGTGCAACGCACTCGCACTACTGGACGACGGGTCAACGTGCAGCCTGATTGAGGCGGCGCTAGCAAGAAGGATCGGCGCAGCGGGTACACCAGCACCCTTTTACATTGAGGGTGTAGCCGGCACACGAATCAACGTCTGCGAATCGCAACAAGTACGCATTTCTCTGCGCGGGCGCGACACGAATGAGCATACAATAACGGCCCGCACCATGAACAACTTGAAGCTATCGCCGCAAGCAGTCCCACGTAACGTCATACGAGCTTGCCCCCACCTGCACGACTTAGAAGAGCATCTCATCTACGAAGAGGGATCACCTACGATACTGCTGGGTCAAGACAACTGGCATCTTTTACTCACACATGCCGTGCGACAAGGGGACCGACACCAACCGATCGCAACACTCACCGATCTAGGTTGGGTTCTACACGGCACTAAGAGATCGAATGAAAGAGTCAACACCCACAAAGTACTCCACGCTGTCGCCCCTGATGATGAAGAGTCCATGGAGCAGATGATGAGGGAACACTTCAGCCTCGAGTCATTGGCTGTCATACCGAGACGCAGCCACAACGACGACGAGCGACGAGCACTGCAACAACTAGAAGATAAAACCCGTCGTTTACCGGCGGGAGGCTTTGAAACCGGTCTTCTATGGCGTAACGAGCACGTTCGTCCACCTGACAGCTACGACGTGGCGTTAAGAAGATTGGAACTAGTTGAAAAGAAACTCGACCGCGACGAGGAACTGAAAAAGAGATGGATACCCACCAAAATGAACGTCGCAGACGACGCCACCCGCGACGTGCCACACGACTTCGACTCTAATCATCGATGGTACAGGGGGCCGGACTTTCTATATATGTCGGAAGAAAATTGGCCTCAAGAGGAAGTCACGGACGTCAACGTCACGGATGAAGAACGGGTCCACCTCACCACAGGCGTCGGCGCGCGACTGAAGGAAGCTCTACCCGAAGTAACTCGTTTCTCAAGTTGGATACGCCTCATGCGGACCACAGCGCGCGTACTACAGTTCATAGACAGGCTGCGGACGCGCACACAACGATGCGCCGCTTTAAGGAAGAGAACGAGGAAAAATGCCGACGCCGACCCTACTTGGCGAAAAAATGATACAGAAAGCAAGAAGACGAATACTTCCGAAGCTGCGCGTGGAAAGCAAGTTTTACACAAATTTAAAACGATCGACGCATCATATCTACGCCACGCCGAGTCGCTGTGGATACGAGCACAACAGGAAGAGGCGTTCACCGAGGAAAATGAGGGGGACCCCCTTTCCCCCCTCTAGCCGCCTTATGAAATTATCAACGCTACTCGACGGCGAAGGCATAATACGACTACGATCGCGTATAGCGGCCGCGGGTGATATCACTGAGCAACAACGGTCACCAGCCGTGCTTGATGGAGACCACCCGTGGGTGCGACTGTATATCGCCTGGATACACAAACAGACGCACCACGGAGGCTTCGGCATCACCACCAGCGAGGTACGCCAGCACTACTGGCTCCTACGACTACGCAACGCTGTGCGAAGCGAACTGAAACGTTGCCGAGTGTGCCGCATCATGAGAGCCACGCCTCCACAACCCTCGACTGGAAACCATCCGCCCAGCCGCCTCGCTCACCATCAACGCCCGTTCACATACACCGGGCTGGATTTCTTCGGTCCACTCCAAGTCGCAGTAGGCCGCACACGACAAAAAAGATACGGAGCGATCTTCACCTGCCTAACCACGAGAGCGGTCCACGTCGAGTTGGCCGGAGATCTGAGCACCGACTCCGCCATCATGGCACTCCGTCGCTTCATATCGCGACGCGGATGCCCGACGGAGCTGTGGTCTGACCAGGGAACCAATCTCCGCGGCGCGGACGCCGAGCTACAGAGGGCAGCACTAGAAGCTATACAGGAAGACGCCAGTATCCGGTTCATCAAGTGGAGATACATACCGCCGAGCGCACCGTTCATGGGAGGAGCATGGGAGCGTCTGGTACGGAGCATCAAAACAGCTCTGTACACCGTACTGCACGAACGCGCCCCGAAAGAAGAGGTCCTGCACACTCTATTGGTCGAGGCAAAGCACACCCTCAACAGCCGCCCTCTCACCCATGTATCCACTGCTCCAGAAGACGAGAACCCCCTGACTCCGAACCACTTCCTACTGGGGGGTCCCTCACGAGTACCACTGCCTGGAGCCTTCACGGACACTGACATCGATGGGCGCAAAATTTGGCGGACCAGCCAACGACTGGCCGACATGTTCTGGTCACGCTGGATAAAAGAATACCTCCCTGATCTCCAGCACAGACGAACTCCGAGAGCCACCAACGGCGCGCTACAACTGGGAGACTTGGTGTTCATAGCCGACGGGACGCTACCACGCAACACCTGGCCCCGCGGCATCATTGTGGCTACATACCCAGGCCCCGACGGAGAAATAAGGGCGGTCGACGTGCGGACAAACAGAGGAATTCTGCGCCGTCCTACAAAGAAGCTGGTAATCATTGCAACGGGAGGCAACGAGACAACGAAGCGCGAACCCTAGGACGTTCCAGCTACAAGCTGCGGCGGGAGAATATGTTCAGGACGAAAACGTGTTCGCGCCCATATGATTTATAATATTGTGATTTAATGTTGTAATTTATTATTGTAATTTATTATTGTTAATTTCGTGTAAGATTTTGGTAAATAAACGAGAGGGAGAGAGGGGTTTTGCTTGGAGTCTGTAGGGTTCTCCCGTCCCGCTCCTGCATTGGTGCCGTCCCGCTCGCACACTTGAATAGAATGCGAGCGGCACGGCGGGCCAGCGATGATATAAAAGGCGGAGCGTTGGGAGCGGAACGACATTCCAAAACTGACTGCACAAGAATCCGAAGGCGTTCCAAATCTCACCGCGATCCAAGCAAAACCAAGATCAAGAAGCTCAATTTACAACCAGGCGTTTTTTCACATAATCCGCCCCCACACATACATATATAACGTGCCTGTTTTCTACAGAAATAGAAACCTCCTAAGGTTTGCCATGGCTCTTGTTATTTATCTAAGAGAGGAGATTACCACGTTGTCCCAGCGTGGACTTGTATATTCCGCTATTTGTCGAATGGTTTTGTAAGTAGCAACAGAGCTCCTTGTGAAAGAGTTCGTCCAGGAAATTACTGCATGCCTTTTACCTATTTCTGTCACCAAGTAGTAATGTGGGCATTACTGTTCCGATTTTGAAGGGTTAAGTGTGCTGGTGAAATTACAGGCACATGAGACTTGTCGATTTTGTGTTTTGAAGTGACGGATGCAGTGAAAGTGCCCATCAGATTTTTGCGATTTGAAGCATTGAGTGGCAATACAACTGTTATGAATATACGTGTCACTTACCACTAGGCCCGCAACTTGTTCAACCCATCACTAGATAATAAAAAAAAATCATAAACAATGTTAGTTCTTACCTAACCAGGAGCTACCGGCGCGAAAGAGTGGCTACCTTTACTCCGCAATCTGAGAGTTTTTGGGCATGAATTGCCGACATTGATCTGAAATAATTTACATAAGTCTCGGACTCACGTTTGCCCAATCTAGAACAATTTGTTCCAATGGTTCGAACTCGAGAGATTGTGCGGTGAGATCCAAACGATGGCCTACTTCACATGGAGTCCTGCATATCCTAAATACTGCATGCTTGAGGATTTAATGGCGGCTCTTAGTGACACAGTGAAAGTAGGTAAGTTTTAGGCTACAATAATGAGGGTAAGCCATCGATACGATGAAAAGAAAAAGACCCGGTTCATATCAATATCTGAACACATAACATATCTTTATAGCTTTGATTTTATTTTAACAATTTCTTACTTTTTAATAAATATTTTAGAAGTATTTTGTGCAAAAGGTACATTGCAATGGTAGTTGAAAAGTTTCAATAAAAATGAATTCGTTGTTACATCAAATGAATGTCAACTAAAAATACGAAAACCGTTTTAAGCATTTAAAATAGAATATATGACTCCATATTCCGCGACGGAAACATGCGACGAATTAAAGTATCTGCGAATGGATCGTATAGTAAACGTTTTCTGTGTAATAAGAATCTACAAGAAGTGCGTCTCAATGATATAATTAAAGCTAGAAGTGGTATGTACATAGCATTATATAATGTTCTAAATTATTTCTAAATACTAAAGTACCCATAATATCGTACCCTTGGTATAATAAAACCACATGTGATACATCAAAGTGTATTTTTAAACATTTGTTTATATGAAGCAAATTACGTATATGTGAAATTTTAAAGTTGTCCTATTTAAGTACAAAAAAAGTTGTCAACTTATTTCGTTCGTAATCTTCCTCGCTATGTTTGCATATCAAAATTATGCTAGGTTTCTTCGCATTTAAATCTCACTTTTCATTTAACATCAGGTGGACTGGAGTCATTGCCTGTCATGAATAAAAAAATAAGTAAAATATACCGTGTACTGCAGCAGGTATCAGATGGAGTTTACATTGAAAAAATCCCAGCAAGCGGATGCAAGCGTCTCGGCCAAAGGCAGTGCGAGTAATTCCTCTCTTGAAAGGATGAGACTGGCGTCAAAGGCAGGGGTCACTTAAAGCTCACAACTCACACTTTTTGTTGACAACTCCATTTGTTTAAACAGTAACGTAGGGGCTTGTAGAAATCTTATTGGTGTGTTATATGATAAAAGGAAATACGTTTTGGTATTTTAGGATAAAAGCAAAAGTATGTACTGTCGAGGTTTGGAAAGATCTCTTACTCGTTTAAAAAATAGAGTATCTCTTTTTGTATAAGCAAAAAGTACAGTCTGCGTAACTTACGAACAGGAACTGTAACGCATCTATTAAGTATGTTAAAAAAAAACACTTTTAATAAAGACTGGATTTCAATAATGTGTAAAACAATATTTTCACGCTGCTGTAACGAGATTTTTGTTTTAGATTTGTGTGTGTGTGTTTGTGTGTGTGTGTGTGTGTGTGTGTGTGTGTGTGTGTGTGTGTGTGT